CATGGGTGCTGGGAACCTCTCTCAGGGTTTTGTAAGAGCAGTGGACACTCTTAACCATGAGCCATTGCAGCAGCTTAGTATTAATGTTTTAGTGAGAGTAGTATTTGTTCATACTCCCTCAGCCCCAGTCTATTAGTGGTCACAGTGGACCTAAAATGGAAAACTTCAAAACTCTTATCTGTATGGGACAATGTGTGTAGACACAACACTTCCGTTCTTCTTTGTCCATAGATACTAATAATGGACTTGATTGGGGCTTAGGGACCAACCACTGTGGCTGCTGAGCAGGAACAGCCCTGAGTCCACCAGAGGCCAAGTACACCGCCACTGGAAGACTGGTCCTTGCTTAGGGTTCTCTCAATGGAGATAACACAGTCTTATCTCCACCTTCAAGCTTTCTATTTTCCAGCTTTTTGTGCCAAGACCAGGAGTGAGATTGATGGCCATATGTGGGGAAGGACTGGGAAGAAGAGGCTGTTTGGAAAGACAGGGGGCCCTAGCAGAGAGGCCTAAGAGATTCATACATTCAGGATGAGAGACCTTCTCAGACACAGTGTGGTTGAGTGACAGCCAACCAGAGTGTCTTCTCATTGTCCTTCAGGTCAACATCATGATGCGATCTCAAGTCCTCATTTCAGTCCTCTTACTCCTTCTCCCAGGTAAGTGAGAGGTGAACTGGGGGATGGCTAGGAGGACAGAGGTTCAGAGGACACGTTTCCCTGGGCTCTGTATTACAGGCTATGTAGTGATTAAAAAACCAGCATGAAATGGCAGCTCCAAAGAAATTTCTTAACCTACATGAATTTCAAAATTCATGGCTAAAAAATAAGATGCACAAGTCCGTCAAGTAAGGGGGGAATATATTTACATGCATGTTACATTCAAGTGACGGTGAGTACATGTATGTGCATGCTATAGTCAAAGTCTGAGGGCCAAAGAAAGGACACGAAAGAGCACCAAACCTTCACTTGGTGCATATATACCTGAAAAAGAAAAAGACATTCACTTTCAATTATTTAATTAAAACATCCTAACTGAAAAAATTCTAGGATGTAGGGGTAGATAGTGGATTGAATATTAATTCTTTTGAGACAAGGTCTAAGGTAGCCTAGGCTGCCTCCACACACTATAGACAACTGAGAATAACCTCAAGCTTCCCAACAGCTAAGATTATAGTTGTGAGCCTCTACACCTGGTATATATTACAAATTTTACAATCTAACCTCTAGGAAGTGAGATTGTGGGAGGTTGTTAATTCTTATCAGATATTCCTATAATTTTCTTATGATGGCAAGTGTTATATTTGTGATCCTAAAAAAAGTATTAGGCAAAAATCAAGTACTTAGTGTCCCAGTGAGATATATACACCTGTTACACACTAATGTTATAGAACAAGAAACGTGCTTTCTCCAACTAGATCCCAAACTCATGACCTAGGCCTGAATATAGGTGACTAGTGAGTGGATCTCACAGTTCACAGTTTTGTGCTGTTTGCTTATTTGTTTATTCCTGTGCTGGGATCCAGCCAGAGGATCATGGGTGAGGAGAGCCTGGTACCCTTGAGGCTGCCTCTTCAGCCCTCAGCTCTCCCTTACTGGAAGCAATTGGAAACATTTAATCCATCATCTCAACAGATACATATTAAAACTATTATTTTAGGTTTAAAAGCTGTATGGTTTATTTCTTGATTTAACATTGCAATTTTGTGGTCTCACTTTACAAGTGAATGTTGTTCAGTTTCTGGAATGTTACCAGCATATAAGATGGGATCCAAGCCAGGCGGTGGTGGCGCACGCCTTTAATCCCAGCACTAGGGAGGCAGAGCCAGGTGGATCTCTGTGAGTTCGAGGCCAGCCTGGGCTACCAATTGAGCTCTGGGAAAGGCACAAAGCTACGTAGAGAAACCCTGTGTCGAAAAACCAAAAAAAAAAAGATGGGATCCTTGTTCAGTTTTTTTCCTTAATTTTTTAAAGAACTGATCCTAAAGCCCCAGTCCTCCTGATGGTATTACAAAACCCATCCTGAGCTTGTCCTGCTGGTGCACATCTTTAATCCCAGCAGTGGGGAGGTGGAGGCAGGCAGATCTCTGAATTCAGGCACCCTGTTCTACACACAAAGTTCTAAATACTGAAGCCAGTCAAGGGTTACATAGCAAGACCATGTCTCAAAAAAACCAACGAAAACCAGGTGAGTAAACAAAAGCCAATCTGAAAACTGATATTGAAGTTGGTAAAGTTCTGCCATTTACCCACAATGCTGGAAACGAAACCTGGGCCCTGCTCATTGTACAGGAGAGGTGGCTAAAGTCAGTGATTTCATTGTCAGTAGCAATGACAACCGGCCTCATAAGCTCAGGTTGGTCTTGAATTCACTAGTTTCCTGACTTCACCTTCGAATTCCAGTTTGACAGGCACCCATCATCATGCACAGTTTCTGGGAAAGCAGTTGTAAAAGGACAAGCCAGCCTGGGCTACAGAGCAAGACCCTGTCTAAAAACAAACCAACAGGTCAGGTTGGTGGTACATGCCTTTAATCCTGGCAGTCAGAAGGTAGAGTTAGGTAGATCTCTATGAGTTTTGTGCTAGCCTATTCTACATAGAGGGTTCTAGGCCTGTGAGAACTACCTAGTAAGTTTTGTCTCAAAAAGAAAAAAAAGAATGAAAGAGAGAAAGAAGGAAGGAAGGAAGGAAGGAAGGAAGGAAGGAAGGAAGGAAGGAAGGAAGGATGGAAGGAAGGAAAGAGAGAAGGAAGGAAGGAAAGAAGATGAAGAAAGGAAGGAAAGAGAGAAAGAAAGGGAAAGAAATACAAAAAAATTAAAAAGATACAGTGTGAATATAATACTGTGCGGTAAGTTGCTTTATCCACACACATGACCATTACATAACCACACAGAAGAAGAGTAAGCTAACAGAAATTTGTTTAGAGTGAAAATGTTAAGCTATGAAAACTCTACAAAGAAAACTGCAAAGAGGAGCTGGTGCTGGAGCACAGTGATAGAGCACTTACCTCTCATGCCCCCAGGTTTAATCTGCAGCCAAAAAGGGAAAATGGGAAAGAAACGAAGAAGTAGAATCAATTGTAGGAAACTGTTGAGTGCTCATTCTCCAATTCCACCTTTTGATCACAGCTGCCGTGGATTCTTTCCCACAAGTGCATGGAGTGATGGGTCACCCTGTGACACTGCCGTGTACTTATCCAGTGTCTAATGGACTCTCATCCATGTGCTGGGGCCGAGGGGCATGTGCTTCTGACACATGTGGACAAACACTTATCTGGACTGATGGCCACAGAATCTACTATCAGACAAACAATCGCTACCAGCTGAAGGGGCAGCTTCTTCAAGGAGATGTGTCCTTGACGATAGAGAATGTCACTGAGAGTGACAGTGGTCTCTACTGCTGTCGGGTGGAAAAGAAGGGGTGGAATGGTGTACAGAGACTGACCACCTCACTGCAAGTTCAACCTGGTAAGTATGCTTTGTTGCCTTGCTAGTAATTTGTTCTTTTCCCAGAACAAGGAAACAAAAGTTCTTATAAACATGCTTGTGATTAAACACTTGCTTATTATTATGTTTTTAATGACATAGTCTCTTGTGTCTCAAACTGTCCTGATGGCCATGCCCTTCTGGTTCTCCAGCCTATAGCACTCTGGTCCTGATAATATACTTGTGTACCAACAACTTGTTTATTTATTTGTTTAAGCCCTAAAATCAACCTTAATTCAAGATCATGAGCTAAGTCAGGACTCAGGTCCTAACTGTACTTGGGACAGTCATGTTGGTCCATGAAACTGCCTCCACCCCATCTGTGGAGAGCTTCATTTAGGCCAAAGTGACTTGAATGAAAGGGATCCTCTGCCTCAGAGTTAATGTCTTATGATAGTGAAACTCTTGTTTCTGTTTATTTGTTTGAACAGGGTTTCTCTGTGCAGCCCTGGCTGTTCTGGAACTCCTTTTGCATTCCAGGCTGGCCTGGAGCTCACAGAGATCCACCTGCCTCTGCCTCCCAAGTACTGTGGGCGTGGGTTACCACACCCTCCCAAAACACCTGCCCTCAACACTGTAAAGCACAACAGCTCTAACCTGAAAAGCAGTCAACGCAGGATGCCACTGTGCAGATGAGCTGGCTTCAACGAGGGTCAGCTGACCTTACTGAGAGCAGGTCACATCATAGATGGAAAGTTCCACTCCATGTCTGCCCTGCCTTGAGCTTTAACAATAGTCCTCACATCACATCGCAAAATTTTTATACACAAAAATGACCACAAGGGAAAGTATTTCTCTTCCAACAACTGTTCAGTGATTACTAGTGAGAAATTCATAAAAGCCCCAGTTCTTAAATCATTAGAGTTTCCTTTTTGATGTGAACATCCTTTTCATAGAAGGAGCTGAATCATGAGGATGCACCTTCTGGTGATATTCCCTGATCTCCTTGGCTTACACTGACAATAGACATCCATTCTAACTTGCCTCCAATTTTTAAAATCCAGAATATCATTTTGTAATTGTTCAGCCTCTGCCGTTTTTTACTAACTTTCTTATTTATTATCTATTGATTTTTGACATTGAATCTCACCATGTCATATAGATGGTCAGGATCTCTACAAGTAGATCAGACTAGCCTAACTCACAGAACCAACTGCTTATCTTTTGACCCATGGGATCAAAAGCCTGTTTCACAATGTACAGCTGCTTGAAATTATTTACAGTGAGCTGTTATCAAGCATAGAAATTATTTCACAGGCTAGTGTTTAAAAGTCCTCTGGCTAGTCAAGGGGTTCAAAAATGACACTCTGCTTTATCTTTTAACCACCATTTTTTAAAAAATAATTTCTTGTGATTCTAACACACGGAGCTTCCTCTTTAGGTGTCCTGGGACCCTCATCAGCTCCTTTAGCCTTTCCCACCTACATGGGAGGAAAAAAAAAATGCCCCAGAGCAAGAGAAGGAGAAAGCTCCTGAGCTGGTGATTCTTTCCTGGGTTTGTTCTCATAGTGATCTCACTAGATTGTTCACATGCTTGCTTTTCTCTCCACCTCAGAGATTTATGCTCTCCAGGGAGGGTGTGTACTGTGCTCAGGCCTCTGCCCACACATTGGACTGGATCAGCAATCTCATAGTTTGAAACCAATAGTGTGAATAGTTTTATTGCAGCACAGCCACACCCACTCCTTGCTAAGTTATCAGCAGTGACTTTCAAGCTGACTGACATGAGTGCTTGCTCTGGAGCACCTATGCTTCGGTTCCTGAGTCCAAGACACTTACTATCTGGCCCTCTATAGGAAAGGGGCTTGAAGGCCAGTGAGACGGCTCAGTGGGTATCTTAGCTATGGTTTCTATTGCTGGCTGTGAAGAGACACCATGACCATGGCAACTCCTATAAAGGAAAAACTTCTAATTGGGGTGGCTTACATTATCATCATGGTGTGACATGATAATGTGCAGGCAGACATGGTTCTGGAGAAGGAGCTGAGAGTCCTACATCTTGACCTGTAGGCAACAGGAAATCAACTGTCTCACTGGGTGTAGCTTAAGCATAGGTAGGATATCTCAAAGCCTGCCTCTACAGTGACACACTTCCCTCCAACAACGCCACACCTACTTCAAAAAGGCCATACCTACTCCAACAAAGTCACACCTCTTAATAGTGCCACTCCCTTTGGGGGCCATTTTCTTTCAAACCACAACAGTGGGTAAAAGTGCCTTGCTCAAGCTTGATTACCTGAGGTCAGTTCTTGCAGCCTACTTGGTAGAGGTTGAGAACCAACTCCTTCAAGTTATCTTCTGACCTTAACACATTGGCCATGGAAAATCACACACACACACACACACACACACACACACACACACACACACACACACACACACGGGGACGGGGGGTCAACAGACTGACAGACAGAGACAGGGAGAGCAACAGAAATACAATTTTTTTAAATTTTAAAAGCAGGCTGAACTCTGCTTTCACTAGTTTCCTGCATGTAACAAGTGAACACATTTCTTTTGGTGCACGCCTTTAATCCCAGCACTAGGGAGGCAGAGCCAGGTGGATCTTTGTGAGTTTGAGGCCAGCTTGGGCCACAGAGTGAGTTCCAGGAAAGGTGCAAAGCTGCACAGAGAAACCTTGTCTTGGAAAACAAAACAACAACAAAAAAAAACCCAAAAAAGAAAACTCTCAATTTGAGTGACATCACATCCTTTAAAGAAGAGTGTTCAAAGGAGTTGTCCCCAGTTCCTGGGGTTGTATTTGTAGTTGGCAGGGTTAGGATGGACAGAAGCTGCTTATGTGGAAACTGTCAGCTGACCAAAGTCCTGTGTGTACCTTCCGGACTTCCCCGTGGACTGTCCTTCCAAGCATTCTCTTCCCTGAACCCCAGTCTGGGATCTCTGTGCACTCTCAGAACACCAGTAAGCCATTTGGATTCACTCAGCACTTGTGGGTTTTTTTTTAAATTTGTGAATTACAGGTTAAACCTGCCTTGTCCCAATATCAGATCTGCAGTGTTTCAAGATCTGAAACCTCTTGGGCATTGCCTTGGTAATATACCTGGAAAATTCAAAGCCATGAAGTATTCATACACAGAATATCAATAGTTTATAAACCTACCTATAAGCTATGTATATAAAGTGTATGCATATGAATGCTACATCTATCTACATTTAGACTTGAGGCCTGTCAGTAAGCTACATGTAAATTTTACAAAATTTTCAGAATTACCCAAATTCTGAAACTCCTGGAACCAAAAATTTTTGGATAAGGAATATTCACACTGCTTCTATTAGATTGGAAGAAACCATAAATGACTCTGTCTCTTCTCTACTTAAATGTGCAAATCATTTAGTGTTGGGCCTTGCAAGGGAACTCCTGTGGGCCAACTAGCCCAGTTAGCCTTATGATGCAATGCTATATGGTGTGTCCTCTCAGAACTGACTGCATTGAACACGCTGAGTCTGTAGTCTGTGGATGAAGTCAGTCACCACTGAGAGCAGTCCCAGTCCCCCATACCCTCTCAGTGTCACAGAGATGCTTAGAGACATCTGAGGATCTGACACCTGTTATTTATGTGTCCTTAGGAACATGGGCTCTGTTCTCATCTCCATGTTGTCTGTGCAGCTGCCTCCTATTGATGAGCCTATCCCCAGTGCCCTGTCCTGCCCCATCCTAGTTGGTCAAAGACAAAGAACAGAAGTGCAGGAGACGAGCCTCTCTGGGGACAGCCTCTCCCTGGTGTGCTAGAGAGTGGGTGGAGTGAAGGCTCTTCTTTCTTCTTGCTTGGCTGACCCTTACTTTCACATTGATTTCTAAATTCAGGAGTTTCAACAAGTTCTTCAGGGAGACTTACAGGTGGATTCAAACCTATCAATAGACCCAGACCTACTCCAACGAGTCCCATAGCAACTCTAAGGAAACCCAGAATTACTCCAAGGAGACCCAGAATTACTCCAAGGAGACCCAGAACTACTCCAAGGAGACCCAGAACTACTCCAAGGAGACCCAGAACTACTCCAAAGAAACCCATCACTACTCCAAGACCAAAAACAACCAAAAAACCCACAACTACTCCAAGGAGACCAGCAACTACCACAAAACCCACAACTACTCCAAGAAGACCAAAAACAACCAGAAAACCCACAACTACTCCAAAGAGACCAGCAACTACCACAAAACCCACAACTACTCCACGGAGACCAGTAACTACCACAAAACCCACAACTACTCCACGGAGACCAGTAACTACCACAAAACCCACAACTACTCCAAGGAGACCAGTAACTACCACAAAACCCACAACAACTCCACGGAGACCAGTAACTACCACAAAACTCACAACTACTCCATGGAGACCAGTAACTACCACAAAACCCACAACTACTCCAAGGAGACCAGTAACTACCACAAAACCCACAACTACTCCAAGGAGACCCTCAATAACCACAAAACCCACAACTACTCCAAGGAGACCCTCAACAACCACAAAACCCACAACTACTCCAAAAAGACCGCAAACAACCACAAAACCCACAACTACTCCACAGAGACCAGTAACTACCATAAAACCCACAACTACTCCAAGGAGACCAGCAACTACCATAAAACCCACAACTACTCCAATGGGACCCTCAACTACCACAAAACCCACAACTACCCCAAGGAGATCCTCAACAACCACAAAACCCACAACTGCTTCAACAAGACCCACAAATGCTCCAAAATCAACCAGAATCTCTACCTCAGCTCCTCCACCACCAGCAAACGCACCAACTCCAAAACCAGGTAAAACCCATTGTGGTTCAGCAATCAGAGGCCTTCTCATGGGGTGATGTAGGACATACTGGACAGCAAGGCAGTCATAAGTATGATCTAGGTGAAGGGTTCTTAGATGGGTTCCAAACAATGACTTCACAATGCCTGTGATTCTCCAAATTTTTTGCATGCACCCTCTGCTCTGCTGTAAGAATTTGAACATGGAGGACACCTGTCTCTCTATGTGAGATTCTCTGAGGATTCACTACTAGCCAAACAGGTGGATATTTGATCTAGGATAGCTGATGAGGATGGTGAATGACTGAGAACTAGTGTCAGGGTAGGGAGACTCTTGACCCTTTATATCCATTCTGGGATTGGGCCATCCAGTTGAGGCCATAGTTCAGGGAGGCTATCATTTGGTATTTCCTGAACATTAAGCAGTATCCTACTTGCTTCATGATGCAGTGCTTAATTCTCAGACACTTGTGTCCTATATAGCTGTGACCTGTCCCTATTTTATAGTGACAAGAACTGACAGAGTCAGAAAGTTCACGATGGAACTTATGAAGACAGAAAGTGGCTCAGACTCTGTCCCTGTTCACTTGCGATGGAAGCTGGTTCTTCTGAGTCCAGGGTCAGACCTCCTGCCATGGGCTCTGAGATTTATGTTTGGAAGGTTTGCCCTGTATTCAAATCTTCACTGAAGAAAACTCCATAAGTCTCCCTTTTGCTTCAAGGATCTTTTAATTTATTTGTGAAACAGGAAAATTCAAAAAGATGATTTTAATACTAATGATTTTACACATTAGAGTTAAAATCCTTAGGAAAGGTGGCATGTTCAAGCTTGGGCTGGAGAGATGGCACCATAGTTAAAAGCAAGTATTGATGCCAGACGGTGGTGGCACACGCCTTTAATCCCAGCACTCGGGAGGCAGAGGCATGCAAATCTCTGTGAGTTTGAGGCCAGCCTGGTCTAAAAAGTGAGTTCCAGGAAAGGCGCAAAACTACACAGAGAAACCCTGTCTCGAAAAACCTAAAAAAAAAAAAAGACATAAAAGCAAGTATTGTTCTTGAGGACATCCTGAGTTGGTTCTAGGCACCCATGTTGAGCAGCTCACAAATGCCTGTAATTCCACTTCCAGGGGATCTGAGACCTCCGGTCTCCATAAGCATTTACAATTAAGTGCAGAAACCCATATACAGATGGCATATGCATATACCAATTTAATATAAAATAAATTTTATGCATATGCTTTGACTGATACCCTAAAGTTCATACTTCGAATTCCCACAGAAATGAATTTAGACAATAGTAATGGATAGTTTTTTAGAGATTGGGAAAAAGATTGGTATCCAAAGACAAGATGGCTTCAAATCTTCTACATCCAGGAGGGAAGATAAAGTAGCAGTTAGAGACACATAAAGCTTGCTACAACTCATCCATCCCCTGAGGTTAAGGCTGGATTCTGTGAGCAGCCGAAGGGTCACCGATTTTTTGTTTTGTTTTGTTTTGCTATCTGATGGGAGGTGTTGATTTCCTTGCCTCCCATTGGCCTGTGGGTACATCAACCAGGATGACTCTGAGGGACGGGGCTACAAGCTGAGGTTACAGAGGGCTTTAGGATAGAATTGGGATTTTAGAGAATAGGATTTGTGAGAAAACCATTTTGTTCCAGGCAGCTGCACACACTGGAGAACTGTGATTTCTCTCAGGATTGACAAAATCTTTCAGTGCTTACTTTCTGTCTGCTTCAAAGGATGGGATCATGGACTGAGTTTGGAGAACATGGATAAGTTACTGACTTCATGGAAAACAGAGATTTAGAAAAGTAGTGACAGCTGACATGATCATGTGACCAGCTGGGGCAGTATTCTCTGAGTTTTATTTTGTTGAGATAGGATCTTAACATGGCTGGTATGGAACTCATGATGTAGACCAGGCTCGCCTTGACGTCACAGAGATCTTCCTGCCTCTGCCTCTGGTCATAAAAGGTGGTTACCACCATGCTTGCCAGTGTTGAATTAAAATTTTATCTTGTTTCATATTTGAGTCACTTACTCTTGTACTTGGAAGGTCTTGCTTAAGGTCCTAGGTCACAAACAGAGCTCAGACTGTAGATGGTACCTAAACCTAGTAATTGCCTTTGGCTCCTTGGAAGTGAGCCTCCAGTGAGTAAAAATGTAAGCACTGTAATGTGAGGACTGAGGAGGCCTATGAGTCATCCAACTTCACTCATGCTGGGCAAAGCCCTTGGCAGTAACTGGGACTTCATAGACCTGTACTATTTCCACTCACTGTTTGGGCATCCTGTATGTGTGTGCTGCCAGCAAATAAGTCTGTCATTTGCTAAAATTACAATTGTGTAATCATCTGACATGTGCTTTTTCAAGAATAAAATGAAACCGGGGGGCTTACTGTTAGGATGTAAAGCATTTGTTTATTGCTATAATTCAGCAGAATGAGAATGCTGTACATACAGATTTTAGAAAGCATAAAAATTATAATTTGTTCTTAAAAAAAGGTATGTCAGAAACACCCCAATATGTGAATGGAGTTTGGTGACTCTCCTGCCATATGAAATCCCAATCTTCACATCATGTGTGACACATCAACTTGTAAGTGATATTATAAGTGATTGCTGAAGCAGTTCTGATCCAAGCGAAGGCACACTGACATATTGGATAAGAATACACACAAGTTGTTATGGATGTCATGGTAGTTCCACTGATTCTGAGTAGAGTCATCCTGACCTTTCAGTGTGTATATGGTCTTTGTGCACTTACCATCCTTAGCTAATATGGAAGTATAGATAAGGTGAGACCTTAGACTGTTCCAAAACTAAGTGTTCTGGTTCCATTAAACTTGTAGATATACTC